GTCAGCTGTGCATCATAAATTATGATCAGTTTATAAAAAGTCACCACCATATGGAAATTTCCCATGACACCAATTATAATTGTCTTGCATTAGCGCTGAAACACCACTGTCACAGTTTAATTGCTAAGTTCTATGCTATTCTGAGCCATTGAGGAAATATCATGCTTGTCCCTGAAGATGTGTTTGCCATTTAGATTCTGGTAGCTGTTTATACATGAATAAATGTGTGCTCATCATTATGTAATTTTTGGGGAAAATGCTTGGCACTAGAACTAAAAAAAATGAATTACATAGTAATAGGAAAAAAACACAGTCCTAACTTTTCAGTCTGTTAGCGTATCATAAAAATTGCTTAAAGTGAAGTTTATGCTGTCACTTAAGAATGCTACATATTGGTTAAGTGTATGCCTCACCGCTGGTAACTTAAGGTCAAAAGCGATGGGTGTGAGTCACTGAATGAATGAATAAAAGAAAGGGGTTATTAATACAAGGGGCAGAATCAAAGATGTATAGCTGGGCTCCGGGCACAATGTACCCAGACAATGAATGTAGGAGCAACACTGTGAGTAGATATGCAAAATTATAGTTTTAAGTAAGGTATCAGCCATAATGTATCCAGGCATAGACTTAGAGTGTTAAAAGTTATAAGGTCACGAACAATAAAAATATAATTACATATGTTTCTCACATGTTAAGACCACAAGTGATCATGCTGGCTGATGATATTCTTTTCTTGCTGTTGGTTCAGAGACAAACCCTTCTATGCCCATGTATAATGTGCTGCTTTTGCAGTGTGTAGGCCTCTTTATTCACCATTATATATTACAAAAGGTCAGTTATTTTGAATCATCTCAAAAAAGACCATTTTTTTTCAAATGTATTGAGGGTAAATAAAATGACTTGTGCATATAATAAGTAAACATACATTAAGGAATGCTCCCATTGGAGCTGCTCCAAGCAGAAGGAGTCCTTTGGTCTATCCCATGACAAGTGGGATAGACACAGGGGTTTATTTACTATAGCTGGAGAGTGAAAAATCAGCCTCACGTCTGCACCAATCAGCTTCCAGGTTTTGTTGTCAAAGCTTAATTGAATAAGCTGAGGATAGAAGCTGATTGGCTAACAAGCCCAGCTACACCAGACTCTAAGTGCTCGAGTTTTAGTAAATCTCCTCCTAAGTTTCAAGTGCCAGGGGAACATATTTGAATCTCCTATAAACCTGATTAGAATGAACATACTGCTGCCAATTGTACCTTAGTAAATACACAGGATGGAAGATGGAAATAGTAAGATGTATTTAAAATAGACGAATTTACACCATAGGTCAGTACTACAATAGGCTTGCTCCTAGGTCACTCTCAGGTTTTTGAAGCATATAAACAATGGGGTTAATTTACTAAAAAAATATATAATTTTATAATTGTATTTATAATTGTTTTATAATTGTAATTGCACTGTATTCATTTACCTCATTCAATTATGGAAGACACGTTCTATTTTTTCAATTACACAGCACTTCATTGGGTGCTCAAAGTGAACACATATTCCCCCTAGCTAAGTAAAAAACTGTTCTCCTAGATAGTACTATTCTCCTAGATAGTAAATCCCAGTGACTAGACATTAAAGTGGTTGTAAACGTTCATTTTTTTAAAAAATTAAAATATCGAACTTGTCATACTTTCCTGCTCTATGCAATGGTTTTGAGCAAAGCAGCCCCAATCCTCTTCTTCTCGGGTCCCCTTCCAAAGCTCCTGGCTCTTACGCCCTGCTAAATGCCCCATACCAAACAGCTTACTATGGAGGCACTCATGTGTGCTCACTCCCGAGCCAGCTCTTTGGTCCATAAGCCACACAGTGCATGGCTCAGCCCTCACCCTCCCCACTGGCTGTGACTGAGAGCAGCCAATGGCTCCCACTGCTGTGTCAATGAGATGAGGAGGGAGAGAGCTGAGGAAGCATTTGCTCTTGTACACATTGCTGGATCAGGATTGGGCTGAGGTTAGTATTGTGGGGCTGCATATTGAAGGTATGAAAAACCTTCAGCCTTTAGAACCACTTTAATCTAGCCTAACTGCTAATATAATGAAAGCTGGTGTCTTGATCTCTTCTTATGCTTGGATTTTATTCTATATTTTAATGTGTACAATAATGTGTATTTTTTTTTATATATTGTGTCATCTCCCATATTGAGCCTATATAGTCCGGTCTTATATTTTGGGTTTCCTTTGTGCACCCATCTATTTTCTATGTTTTTGTGACACCATTCCCTGTTCAGCACCATACTTTGCATCTTTAAAATGACAAACTCCAGAGTCAGTTGCAATACCAGCACATCCTATGGGCTAATGTGCAACCAAGAGTTATCTGCTGGAAGCATTATAACTTGGTAAAAATGTATCCGTTTTTAAAAGCAGCAACTGGGATGAGAAATGAAGAAGTTGGTTGATGATGAGAGCAGATGACTTGGGAGTAGGGTAGAATACAAAAGCTCTAATTAGACATGTCCACAATTATAACGTGCAATGCTCTACAAGAATTAAAATTACAACTGTCAGGATCCACACAACCAAAGTATTTAATTTAATTCATAAAGTAAGATTGCACTGGAATGTGTATTCATTATCTGTTAATGAGGCAGATATGTTTAGTGCGATATTGATATTTAGGATAATATCTCAGGAAAACTCTCTTAAATACTCCAGAAGCTGTTTATAGTCCCATGAGAGGAAATTACTTGAATTCTTCTCACAGAAATATTGATATACGAGATCTAAAAATATCTGTTCTGGGACATGTAATACACAATGTGAGCTGATTAGGGTGCTGGGGGAGAAAGGTAATAGAGAGATGGATGGGATGCCTCTACAGATAATAATTTCAGTCCTTAGGGAATCCTATGACTTGGTTATATATAACAATAAGCTGTCTCTTTTCTTGTGAGCTGCACAGGATTGAACTATAATTTATAACTGCACTTAAAACATCTTGTATAAAAATTAACAGAACTGCCCTACATTTGCAGCAATATTTTCCTTCAGCAGTTTTAGTTAGTTGTCCAAAAAAACACATTTGAATCATTTAATCATTTAAAATAAATTCTAACATTAATAACATTCAAGTGGAACTCTATTTTGGGTAGAGTGAGATGGGATTTCATTCCATGTATGGGGCTTTATAATTATTCTTAGGAAGGGGATTTCTCATACACATACCCACATATTGGTACCTATTAAATCATTTTTCCATATACTATATGTTTCCATATACTATATGGAGAATCCATTACCAGGTTAATTTCATTCCCCTTTGTGGATTTGTGATAGAATTTGAACAATACATTTTAAAAGGTGAGAACAGAACTTTGAGCTGTCATTACTGTGTCTGGAGTAGAGAACCTGGAAGAAATACAATGATGGAATCCATCTATGCTACATTGCATCAGGAAAAAAAAAATCAGTTTTGGTCACAGCTTTTCTTTCTTTCTTTGTGCAATCAAAAAGTGCTAACGCTTCATTATAGGGAGGCTTAGGAGGCCATACAGGTACTATATGTGTAGGTACTGCTAGGTGCATGCACTTTATACCTGGAGCAACCCCCCCCCCAACTTCCAGAGAGACAGTGTCTTTTTAGCTTTAATTGCAGAGTAGAAGCTGAACAAATGGAAAACTGAACAGGTAGCATTACTGCAAATCAAAAAGCCAGTAAAGGTCATTTACATCCAGTCTTGCATAAGACCGGGATGTTGTTTTTTAACAGTTCCTAGTCTATCCATAACTGATTCATCAGATTTCATGGGCCCACACATTTACTATAGAGCTTACTTCTAACTATACGATGCCTAAAACTGTGCTCCTGAAAGTTAAATACATCATTAAAACTTGCTTTGGTTAGTCTTGTAATTAAGGCTCCATATAGCTTAATAAGATCTGGAACCTCCACTGCAACAAAGGCACTACAACAGCATACAGGCACACCTTCTGTGGACAACAAAGGAGAAGCAGGCCAGGTTACCCCTCTACGCACTCTACTCTCTAACCCTATCAGCATACTTCATTTCAATGTACGCGCTCAGGGTTGTGACCGTTACTAAGCTATGGCAGCACACAGCAATGGAGTGAGGGGAGGGGGGCAGAATTTTTTGCTGCAAACAAAAAAAATTGCAAAGCATTTCAACAAAAGATCAGTCACAATTCATAAAATGGGGGGGTACAGAATTAAGTGATAACAAGGTGTGATACTTCAGTTGGACTATAAATGTATATTTATCAGTCTGAGTTGACAAATTCAGTTGCTGGAAACAAAAAACATTGCAAAGCATTTCAACAAAAAATCAGTCGCAAACCATAAAATGGGGGGGTACAGAATTAAGTGATAACAAGGTGTGATACTTCCGTTGGGCTATAAGTCTATATTTTTCAGTCTGAGTTGACAAATTCTGCCATTAGGTGAGCCTAATGAAAGTCTCAATTAAAGTGTTAATTCTCCAGAGGAAGGGTTTTTCCGTCTTAAAGCTTGTAATTATTTCCATTGAAGTTCCGTATCAGGTAAAGGTAATACCCATAGTTATTTTGTTATTTTGACAAAAAGTACAATTTTGGATCTATTTGACTCCTAATATCGGACCATTCTTCAAAGTGTAGTCATAGAGAATTGTAGGTGATATTATATAACCTTTGTTGCAGTTTCATATCATTTATTACATAGCTGACAATGTGCCACTTTCATTGTATGTCACATCCTTTTAATTCAAATACTGTAAACACAGCAGGGTTAGTTACTAAAACTGAAGAGTGCACAATCTGGTGCAACTCTGCTTAGAAACTAATCAGCTTCCAGGTTTTATTGTCAAAGCTTAATTGAAGAAGCTGAAGTTAGAAGCTGATTGGCTACCATGCACAGCTGCACCATATGAGTGCACCATTCTGAGTGCACCAGTTTTAGTAAATTTAGCCCACATAGTACCAAGTTCAATACAAAATAACATTTTCAGTAATTCTTACCAATATGGTTGTCACAATAACAGTTTTGTTTTCAAGACCCATGGAGTCATTGGCAGACATTACATCAGTGACTGTAACCACCATTTTGTCAACCTCACTCCAGTATCCAATCTGCCAAATAAAATAACAAACAGAAAGTGATGGGTAATTGTTAAAGTAAAAACAAATGTGTATATTTGAGTAGGTTTTACTTGCAAACTGAGATACTGTAAGAATGTAAAGTGATACTGCAATCAAATGTAGCAAATTTATTTTACCACATTAGTCAAAGTACTTTAAGTTTATTTTTACTTATATGAATGATAAACTTTTTTCTTTATCCTCCATTTAGGGACACAGAAATATTTAACATTCGAGTTTTACTGCCACCTAAAGAAAGATGGGGCACTAGCAGAAAAAGTTGAAGGTAGCCCTCATATAATCCTGCCTATAACTGTCATGCCCCAGTTTTTTTTCTAATGCCCTAGGAGGGTGGATCCCTTTTTTTTAGCTCTGCTGATAAAAGACTATATATAGTCTATATGTAAACATTCACCTTGTAAAATAACCCATTCAATTTAAAATAGAAATGAAAGGTAAACCATTTCTGTAGAGGTATAAAAAACTTTATAACCCCCCCCCCTTTTTTTTTATATTACTGATCACATAACCTCTGATCTCAGCTTCATACGCAGCTGGGGGTGGAGAAACAGCAGTACACTAATCTTCCCAGTGAATGGCTGTGCGGGGGGTGTCTGCACAAGAATGAACATTGGATTATCTTCCAGCACAGCCAGAAACTGACCATGCTGTGCTCTCATGCCTAGTGTAGTCGGTTTTGGATTGGAAAGCAGAGGGACTGGCAGGAACACCAGGGATTTCACATAAAGGAAGCAATACACAAAGAGCAGGATACTTTTACATTCAAGTACATGGTACAGCAGGCACATATCAGGAATATGAAATGCTGGGTTTAGGTATTCTTGACTTCAAGCAAGAAACTCGGTACACTGTAAATATATTTTTCTTCAGTAACTGTAAGTAAGACTTCCAAGACTTTCACTGCTTAAACTAGTCTCTACACAGCATCTCTCCGGATTGGCTTATCCTCAGCAATAGTTTTGAAGGCTGCACCCAGACCCTGCTGATCTAAAAGATTGCAGGGCTAGCCTGGAATGTGACTGGGGTCTGCATTGTGGCACTTTCCTGACCTTTATTTACAATGTTAGCCATGGCACAGCCTTGTGACCCTTCTTCTAAAGAATCACTTTCTGAACAATGCCAGTTGGCCGGAGGCACAGGGAGCTACCTTACAGTGGTGAATATGTGCCACTGTAGGTTTAACTGTGGTAGCAGGTAAGGCCAAAGGACTTGAAGACTTACATAATCAGCTAAGTGGAGTGCTGTGCACAGGTACCCCATGCTCTTTCTCTTGATATTCAGCTTAGAGGAGGTACTAACCTACTGAGGCTGTTTCTGAAGCACCTGGTTTCCATTCAACTGCCTGCCTACAATGACTTGGTCACCTGCAACTGCCTTCAGCTTTCATCAGCACCAGCCGCTTGGGTTTGTGGGTTCTGCTATGTGGTACAACATGTCTTCTCAAAAACCCACAGAGGACAGTCACGTTTCAATCGGTGACCTCAGCACATACATTGGCAGTGATTTTGTTGGTGGTTGGCCTTGTCAAACTGTGTCACAATGGATTTAATTCTTTAAAGAGGAGGACTTCTCCATTACTTGTGTCATGGAACATTTGGAACTAGAGTCTGGAGCCCTGTGCATTAGCTGAGATGGCTTCTCACAAGCTTCTAAGTTCATGTTTTGCATGGAGATAATATCTACAGTATGTGCCTGGGACACCAATGATAACTCCCAGGAGCATCTGACTCAAATGCCCTTCGAGGGAAGACATTTCTTTGTACCTGCTCTTGACACTGTCATTAGCAATATCACTGGGGGTCAAAGAATGCTCCTGTCTCAACACAGGAAATCCGTTGAGGGGGCAGAGAAACCCAATTCATCTCCTTGATCTACTACAGTAGTAGTTCCTATTTGGCAGTCACAGCCTACGTCTAATTCAAGTCACATGACTCAAAACCACAGATCCTCTATCCCCTCTGCTCAGCCTTCTGCACTAAAGTGCACCCCCACTTTTGCAAGTGTTGAGTTGTTTGATCATCCTTCTGGGTCTTCTGTTAATTTACCTCCCAGACATTTGTATGCTCAGGTCTTCCCCTATGATTTTCAGTTTAGACCCTTGAATCAGACACCTCCTATTACTGCCCATCTTTACCCTTTTTGTATTATTGCACCTCATTTTGCATCTTCCCAGGTCTGTATGGGCTCTGCATACCCTGAATGGGATTCCTTTACCCACTGAGAGAATGTTCCTTTTACAATGCTTGATTCTTGTCAGTCCTACCACTCACCAATGGGATCTCTTTACCTAAAAGACTGACAAGGATCAATTCCTAATAATCACTCCTTTACTAGGGACCTGTCTCTTCAGGGTATTCTAACAGTTCTGAACAATGCTCACAGCACTAGCCCTAATGACTTTTCCTGGCATCAAAATAGGGAATTGGTGAGTGTTCAGATGTTCCCTGAACAGAATCAAATTCAAGGATTCTAGCAGTTTGAGCAATTCTGAAAGTCTTATTGTCTGCAAACCTTGTCTAGAGGAATATCACTAGGTTTCTAGCTTTGGTAGCCCTGGATAGTCATTGAGTAATGCTGTTCAGTACAAGTCCTCCCCTATAAAGACCACTCCCTGGGAACCTTTGATCCCTTTCTTATGTGTAGCAAACTTTTCCCACACAATATCAAACAGCAGAAAAAAGTTGACAAGCATTCTTGCCCTTCTGCACTTTATCCAAAACTAAAAATTAATTTTTGAATGGACATACATTTAAATAGGAACGCCAGCCATTTGCAGAAAAATTAACTATAAATACAGTACTGACTTAATAAACAGACACTCACCAGCCTAGGGATCCAGCGCTGTCATGACCTGAGCTGGTTCTTCACCAGTCTTTGAATTCCTGGCATTGTCATCTTGAGTGTGGGAAGCTGGCTATGACTTCTTACCAACTCACAGCTTGCTCCCCACTGCACATGTTTGAGTTGCACTGAGCTTTGTCAATAGAACAGTAATTTCCTGCATCATGTCCCAGGATGTTGCTGGCTGGGGGGGAGGGGGTAAGAAGCCAGAGCATGTACCTGTCAAAGCTAGGTACCCGAAAAAAATAATCTTCCAAATATAGTAGAGGAAGGGGTAGGATGATGCAACAGATATTAGGACATGCATTGTTCAGCACCAGGTGGAAGTAAGTTAAAACATCCTAGGTTACTAAGGGCCACCTGTCATGCATTCAAATAAAATGAAACCAAATTAAAATAAGGCAAACTTGTGAATAAATGATGAAAACTGTAACATACCTTTCACCATTTCATTAATTGATTGTATTTATTAGAAAAAAAAAAACCATAGTGAAAAAACTCTTCCTTTCGAGGACCATTGCTTTTAAGTTCCATAATATTGATTGTATAATTTACTCTTTTACCATTTTGGTCAAATTTTATATTTCCTGTCAATCCATCAACTTGGACCTGTTAAAAAAATTCAGAAACAATAGTTATTGATTCATTAACCAATTTCTTCAATGCAAGTGTTCTGCACAAAGCAATATGCTCTTCTTTGAGGTAAGTATATGCACATTATGGCATACATTATGACAGTCAAGTAAAAATGAATGGGCTGCCAATACACCCTAACATGGTAAAAAATCACATGTGATCCTTTTATGTAATGCAATGCACTGTAAAACAATGTTAACCATACTGTATGCTGTAGTGCATGTGCATTGCCTTAGCACATTGGGGTATCATTCAAAATGAAAAGCACTGAAATGCAGTAATGCATGTTACATGAGTTAAAGGGGGCAGAGGTAAAATGTGGGTTCCCACAGCACAGGAGTGTAAATGGACCCTTATGGTCCCCTAACACATTACAAGTATAAATTGCTTTCCTAATTTTCTTTTTAGTTTGATGAAAAAGTGCATGGTGTTTTTTTTCTTTTTCAGTAAACTATTTTTTTTTTCCAGCTTTGTGTCTTCTGAAAAACTCATAATTAAAAAAAAAACAGCCAAACAAATGGGTGGCTTGGTCTTTCTTCACTGAGCCACATTTTGAAATAATTCCTATGCATCCAAGTGTTTCTAAAAACAAGCTTTAATGAGTTGAAATAATTTCCTCTGGTTTCAAAACACAACTGAATAATAAGCCGAATGAGCAAGCAAGTGTTAAAACCTCAGTCAGAATTGTATTGTTGTCTCTGTCCCTACTAGTGGAGATTTGCCCTCTCTATTTGTCCTGGTCATCATTGTCCCTGGAACTAAAAACTAGGGAAAATCTTCAGCTGTCACTGGGTCAGGGATAGTGATGAAATCTTCCAACTGAACACTTGTTCCAGGGATAACTGTCTAAGAGAGGATTTCCTTTACTTTGGAGAGATTTTCTCTCATTACTTGTTATGTTTCAAGACAAAAGTGAAGGAAAATCTCTCCAGTGGGACCCAACAGCAATGACAACAACAACAACAAAACGTGGCAGAAGTTTTATTCCTTGATCAAGGAGGTAATAGGCACATGGAATCTGCAGGCCAAAAGTCCATGGAGTCTTAATAAATCCAGGAAAAATGGGAGTCCAATGACGGGGGCGGGGATGAAACAGTCCGAATACCAGAGCAAGCTGTGGTAGAGTGAAGCAGACTCTAATATGGAGAAACAGAGGAAAAAACACATCGCCTCTAAGTGTAATCCTTTAAATCATATGTTCAATTATATGTTCATTTTGCTATGTCATATTTTTTATGTTATCTTATGAAATTTTATGTATTCACATGATACCATTAGCAAATTCATCCTGCTCGTCAATTGTTCCCCATTCAATCTCCCCTCCCACTATCCCTCCCTGTTCCCCATATAAGGCTCCCATTCACATTGTATTACCTGCTTGAGAAGGGAGTGCGCTGGTCTATTTCGGACCTTGCGCATGCTCAGAAATGTGCCCCACCTTTATGACGTCAGACGGCGAGGTCACTGCCCTGAATTTCACAGTGGGCCACTACAGCGGACCAACCCGGCGCTTTCCTCCTACTCCAGCGCTCTCCACCATCCCACTTTGACACACTACATTGCGGCTTACCAGCTTGGCGATGAGGCAGACTGCACATCCATTTATGATGAGCCTGTTTATTATCTATGAACATGTGAGTTGCCTACTTACTTTTTAACTATTAAACTTGTATCACAGGCTACACTTAAGAGGCACTGTGCTTCTTCCTCAGAAGTTTTATTCCTTCCCTACTGTAGCCAAAACTTTAAGAGAAAAAGTTTTGGCTTTAAAAATAATTAGTAGCTCCAGTTAAATTGGACTTTGCACTCAATGCAAGGCCAGCTTTATAAATGCCCCCCCCCCCCACACCCTACCTAAAAACTGTTGGTGATGTTATCATCCTGCTGACAACGTTCTGGTGAATGGTGAGTAATGTAAATGTCACAATAAAACACTGCAGTACAGTGAGATGTGGGCTTTTCTACAACTCCCAGATCTTGCTGGAAGAGGAAGACGTCACCCTTGCTTTGCCACCATAGATGGACGCCAGGGGGAAAGCTATTATCTATCTATCTATCTATCTATCTATCTATCTATATCTATCTATCTATTATCTAACTTCTTTTTCCTACAGGTGATTTTTTTAACTGTTATTCAACATTTCAGCAAGAGGGAAGAAGGCACACTTAAATTCTAGACCTTGCTTTTAGGTCGCTGATCAACTTTCTTTTTCAAGGAAATAATCACAGTTAGCTTTGTGTTACCTGCTTTAAAGCTCTTTCTATTTCTACTCCATGTCCCCACGGCACTGCTGGGTTTGCTAAACAATCTCCCGCATTTCCTCTTCTTGAGATTTCTATTCTCTGCTTACGCAAATTACGGAAGGCCTCTGTCATCACTTGAACAGCATCAAATGTCAGAGCTGATGTATACTGAAAATGACATACAAAATATAATTTTAAAAATACAACACTTTACAAAATATTATAAAATACATGCATACAATTTAATTTAATACAAGAGATTATTGGTTTGGCATTCTGACCTCTCTACTTTCAGGGGCACATAAGCAAAGATTTTCATGAGCATGCATAGGTCATTTCTGCCTAAGTATCCATGACAAAAACTCAAGAACTACCCTGTGCTATTCTGACTTCAGTAGAGTGTATTCTGATTGGTTGAAATGGGTTATTGTAATTATTTAATTAGCCTAAAAGAGAGTTTTTCTGGTTGTATGATTTCCTTTGTGGAAGCTTATTAAAAAACAATTGAAAAAGGCAGTATATGACAATTGTGTACAACTCAACCTGAGGTTAATGCTCATGTTATGTCACTCCCAGAAGGAAACACTGCTGATTATTATTATTATTATTATACAGTATTTATAAAGCGCCAATAGTTCGCTCAGCGCTGTACATTACAGAGGGGGACAGAACATGTGACAGAACAATACCAATACAATGCAAAACATGAGGGGATTGAGGGCCCTGCTCTTTCGAGCTTACAATCTAGGAGGGAGGGGATGGTGGCACAGGAGGAGATAGCTGTGGGGGATGGAGTGGTAGGAAGAGTGGAGGAGGTCGGCAAGTTAGCAGGGGGTGGGGTAGGCTTCCCTGAAGAGATGGGTTTTCAGGGTGCGCCTAAAGGAGAGGAGGGTAGGTGATAATCTGATGGGTTGGGGCAGGGAGTTCCAGAGGATGGGTGACACCCTGGAGAAGTCCTGGAGGCGGGCATGGGAGGAGGAGACCAGGGAACTAGAGAGAAGGAGTTCTTGTGAGGAGCGGAGTGTGCGTGCTGGGCGGTACTTGGATATTAGGTTAGTGATGTAGTTCGGGGCAGTGTGGTGGACAGCTTTGTACGTCAGTGTTAGGATTTTGAATTTGATCCGTTGCGCAATCGGAAGCCAGTGGAGAGATTGGCAGAGGGGGGTGGCGGAGACAGAGCGGTTGGAAAGGTGAATGAGTCTGGCAGCCGTATTCAGGATCGACTGAAGCGGGGACAGCCAGCGGCGAGGCAGGCCAGTGAGGAGGGAGTTGCAGTAGTCGAGTCGTGATATGATGAGGGAATGGATGAGCTGTTTAGTGGTTTCTGGGGTTAGGAACGTGCGGATTTTGGCGATGTTGCGGAGGTGGAGTCTGCATGAGTTTGTTAAAGATTGGACTTGGGGCTGAAAGGATAGGTTGGAGTCCAGAATGACACCAAGTACTCTGGCCTGCAGGGTGGGTTTGATGGTAGCGTTGTTGGATGTGACGGAGAAGTCAATGGGGGGTGGTGTCCGGGCTGGGGGGAAGACAAGAAACTTGGTTTTGGAGAGGTTCAGTTAAGGAAGTGGAGTGACATCCAGTCTGATATGTCGCTCAGTAGGTGTGTGATTCGGGCTGAGACCAAGGGGGTGAGGTGGGGGGTTGAGAGATAGATTTGTGTGTCGTCGTCGGCATAGAGGTGGTAGTTGAAGCCGTGAGAGTGTATGAGTTGGCCAAGGGAGGAGGTGTAGATGGAGAAGAGAAGGGGCCCGAGGACAGAGCCTTGAGGGACCCCAACAGAGAGGGGGAGTGAGGGGGAGGTGGTAGCATTATAGGCAAAATTAAAGCAGTTACATTCATTTTATGGAGTTCATTTAATAAAGGAATTGTGGCTTCAATTAGAAAAGTAAAAATTCACAGAACTTAGTAAATTAGGTGTAAACACATTTTCCCATACATTTTCTATCACGACCTAGCAGAAATCCTGTTTTTTTTTTTCCCCTCACACATGATTGGGTATTCAAAGTGAACATGGTTTCACCTTATTTACTAACATTCACTTTGCAAAGTGAACATGCACTCTCTATTTCTTTACAAAATCAACTCTATTGTGTATTGCCTTTGTACACAGCATAAGATGAAAATGATCACATATCACAAGTCCCCATAGGAATATAAAGTGTTACTATATCCAGGACCCTGCATTCACTATATCTGGTCTCCCACAGTACACAGAACATGGAAATGCCATTATTTTAGTATATATAAATTGCGAAATACTTTTATCATCAGCAGTTAGTGTCCAGCTAAGCACTGGTAAAAGCTTGTAGGAGGAGTTTTCTTTCTGCTCTAGGAGGATGCAAAACCCCTGACCTCTGTCTGGACAGTGCTGATTGGCCCTATTCTGATCACATGCATTCTCCCAAGAAGAAAAATCTCTTTAGTAAGACACACCAAATTGAGCATGTGCAGAGTGACTGCACACACTATGTCTTATCAGGAGATAAGAAGACGAAACTGGAAGAAGGGGAGGATCAGAGAAGTCAGGATCAAACAGAATTTTTAAACAATGCAGAGGATTAACCCCTAGGTTCCACAGTGAGTATAACAAGCATGCTTTAGTGCATATACAGACTGTTGTGAGTTTAGTAACACTTTAGTTTAAAACAACTAACAGAAACTAAAAGAAATACATATTGACATTATTTATATTAATGTGTATGCCAATGCAAAATTTAAAACAATATATGCAGTACGTCTTTGAACACGTGTACATTTATCCAACTTTTTTTCCCTTCACAGACCACACAAGTGCAGAAAATAACCTGTGAAATGCAGTTAGGTCTTAACCTAATGTGACCTAACAACATGTGGCATTTTTGTGGACTGAGTGTTGTCAGCCCTGCTCAGATTTCTTTTGCTAAACTACTTAATCCATCCCACTGTGTTCACCTCCAAGCCATAGGCACTACCCGACTTGTAGCCCCAATAATAGCAAGGATGGATACATAGGCTCTTTGAAATAATAGATGGAACAGGGCACATGATAGCTCTAAAGTTCTGACATAATCAACAGGTATATTTTACACTTTAAAAACAGATATAAAAAAATGCTTTCAAGTATATATATATTAGACCAAAACTGTTCATTGTTAGGGTTTACGTACACTTTAAGTCTGTAAGTATGTAAAACCCCAATATTATATTTAAAGTCTCAGATGAGAGATTTCATCTAAAATAAAACAATAACATTTTCATGCCAATAAGTAAATTATAAATAATATAATGAAAGAAGCCTGCCAATGAAGCATTTAAGTCAAATGTTATGTTTCTAAGAAAAGTAGGACGTGTAGAATGTCCCATGGTTAGCTTGGTGCAGAGTGCTTGAAGGCACTAAGCAGTCAACACGAATATAAATATAAATATGTGATTTATTTCCACACCAACAGATATCAACACAACAGCTCATTTTACAAAGAAGAAACATAATACAATGTGACTGACATGAGCTGACATGGCAGCCCAGTGTGGGCTATCAGCTGGTAATATTCTCATTTTAATAATATAAGCATATAAATACTGTATATTATGTTGCAGATATGGCCACTAATTACATTCGTGTAGTGCAAAGTTAAAAGCCAAATTAATAAAGAGAAACTAGGTATGAAAAGGTAGCTCAAAGCTGTGTGCAATAAAAGTTAAAAGTGTGTCTGTATATAGACAGTGGAATTAGATTGGAATTTAAGTAGCAGGGATCAGTAACCAATGTACAATTGGTAAAGTAGGAATCCTCCCCCCCCAACACATTCCCCCATAACTTTAATAGTTGTGTTTTTTTCATGCTGGGTGCAGGTACCTTTTTCAGACAGGTACCTGCTCCCACTTCCGCATTTCTTGCCTAGGCAAGAATTACATTAGTTTAGACCAACGCTCTACCCGACCCGCCCCATCAACATTTTTTTTTTCTAAGACAGGGTACCTTTTTCTGACAGGTACTCAATTTCACTTTGTCTAGGTGAAGAATATATTTTAAAATATATATTTTTAAAAATATATATTTTTTAAATATATTCTTCAGATTTGTTTTAACATAAAAAGTCATTTTAACATATATTTTTAATATATTTGTAAATGCATTCCAAAAATGCAAATTTGTATTTTTAAAGACATACAGTATATTTGAAATGTATTTTTAAATATTTTTTTCTTATATTTTGTAAAAACGCATTTCAACATGCAGTATATATATATATATATATATATATATATATATATTTTTTTTTTTTGTATTTGAATAGATTTTGATATATATTGAATATGGGCAAAATTGTAGCATTTCAAATATATGTCAATATTTTCGGGAAGAATATTTTAAAATTATATTTCAAATATATTTTTTTCTTCCATATGGGCAGTCTGACAGCACCCAAGCGGATCTCACACGTGGGCAATGGGTTGCCAGCTGTGAAACAGCAGGAAGTGACACTCAGCTCCCGCGGCACCTGCCAGGGATCAAAATCTGGCAAAGAATCAGTCCCACTGAGAATCGGTCTGTTTCTTTAATGTCAGAAGCTACAGAATTCGAAGCTGCCGACTATATTTTTTACAAATTGACTGAATTGCTTTTCAACTCTGATTCAAGATGAGATAACAGGAGGCAACAGAGATCATTGCACCTTATTCTGTATTTATTATTAGCATGTTAATATCAAAATTACTGTAGTAGAAATGTGGTAAGTGTAACCCTCATTAGACTTATAGTACTCCCTGGGAATTAATTAGTGGAGGTTAGGAGCAATGGAACTCATAGTGGAGGTTAGGAGCAATGGAACTCAAGAGAAGGTAGAGGCAGATTGAAATGTTTAGGTGGGCTGAGAAAAGACAGGAGACATAGAGAGCATGTCTCATGGACTGAGGGGTGTACTGGAGGCAAGATCAGAGGTACTTGTAGAGCTTGGTAGAGAGAGCTGACATCTGGACTAATGAATACAGAGTAGGGAAAGCAGAGGAGTCAGGAACAAAGGTACAGCTTGACTGGTGAGAGTGAAAGACCAAGACAAGAGGACAGCAAAGTGAAATTAATAATCAACCAGAGATTAAAGGTTGGAGTCCAAGAGCAATTGTTTGTGAGCGCACAACGTGAGAAGGGCATACACATTGTACTGAACACCCCCTTACAGGCAACATGG